TAACTAAATTCATTAATTCATGCTTAGATCAAAGAGAATTTAAACTATCACTTTGCATCACATAATGATACTGCTACAAAGGTTTGGTAGGAGGTACATAGAATGAATCAAGACATAAAATACTCCTGGAGAAGAAATGTCAATCAAGTGAGAAAAAAAAGTGTATTGTATATTAAACTGCATTGGTCTGTGTTGCCTGAGACAACATTATCCTGGAATTTTGTCTATTATATTATCTAGGATATTTGTCACAACACAGGAAGATGCCAACTATAATTATGGGAAATTCCCAATGACATACATGGTTTTGCAAAGCCATTGAATGTTCTTTGATAACCTGCAAAAACTTAGATTTTTCAGCTTGCAAATCTTACACGAAATGATGGGATATCTTAGAGATGTTACAGAATTAAATCACAGAAGAAAATCCGCCTGATTTCTTTTTCTTTTTTGTTTTTGTTTTGTTTTGTTTGTTTGTTTGTTTGTTTGTTTGTTTTTTTGAGACAGTCTTTGCTCTTGAAGCCCAGGCTGGAGTGTAGTGGCGCAATCTCAGCTCGCTGAAACCTCTGCCTCCTGGTTTCAAGCGATTCTCTTGCCTGAGCCTCCAGAGTAGCTGGAATTACACCACCACGCTGGCAAATTTTTGTACTTTTAGCAGAGATGGGGTTTCACCATGTTGGCCAGGCTAGTCTTGAACTCCTGACCGCAGGTGTATCTGCTTGCCTGGGTTCCCAATGTGCTGAGATTACTGGCGTGAGCCACCACATACAGCCAAGCCGATTTTTTTTAACTCATGTGTTTTGTGAGTGAGAAAGAAGATGTGGATTAGGTTAACTCATTTTTATAAATGATGGCTGCTATTGAGTTAGAACTAACATGACCCCTTAAAAATGAGAGTAAAAGAAAAAGGAAACATATATTTTTCAGAATTAAATATCCTGTTATTTTTTTGTTTCCCCAAAATTTGCTCATATTCTCCTGTGGAAAATATTTACCGAAAATGTTTTTATAGTATATTCTGTAGTCATAAGAAACTGATAAAATATTTTCCCTGAGACAGAGGTATTTACACAAATTTTATTCTATTGCTTTATTTACTAGCAAATAGTGTAGCATGCATCTTATTTTAGCCTAAAATGTTCCTTTATACAAAGAGATCACTACGTATATTTTTAAAAGCAGTGCTGCTGTTTTTGTTTTCTAGATATATTGTATTTTTTAATTGAACAGTAAAACTTGTATATATTTTAAGTACAACATGATGTTTTGAAATATATATATATAGTGGAATGGCCAAATCAGGTAAAGAAAATATGCAGTACCTTACACACTCATATATATTTTGTTTTGAAAACACTTAAAATCTACACTCTTAGCAATTTTCAAGTTTAGCCATGCGTTGCTTAATGATGTGGATACCATCTAAGAAATGAGTCCTTAGGCGATTTTTAATTCTGCAAACATCATAGAATACACTTACACAATCCTAGATAGTATAGCCTACTATACACTTATGCAGTATGGTATAGCCTATTGCTTCTAGACTGCAAACATAGACAATATATTATTGTACCAAATACAGTAGCTGGCCAGGCATGGTGTCTCATGCCTGTAATCCCAACACTGGGAGGCTGCGGTAGAAGGACTGCTTGAGCTTAGAAGTTCAAGACAGCCTGGGCAACATAGTGAGACCCTGTCTCTACTAAAAAAAGTCAGCTGAGTGTGGTAGCATGTTTCTATAGTGCTACTTGGGAGACTAAGGTGGAAGGACCGCTTCACTCCAAGAGGTCCAGGCTGCAGTTAGCCATGATTGTCCTACCACACTCCAGCCAGGGCAATGGAGTGAGACCCTGTCTCAAAAACAAACAGTTCCATCCATGTTGTTGCAAATGTCTGGATCTCATTCTTTTTTATGGCCAAATAAATCAAGTCTTTCTGGAGAGATAAGGATTGTTTAAAACCATTCGTTAATGAGGAAAGAGGTTGACTATGCTCTTCAAAAGTTCAAGGTTCCTGAAATAAAGAAAAGGTGTACTGAAAAGTACGAAACTTCTTTGTTACTCCCAAAGTTACAAAGATGTGATATAAAGTGTGATATAAACTAGCCTGGTTTTCTTTTCACTCAACCAAGAATGAAGTGAAAAAAATCATATCTAAAATGAGTATTAACGCTATTGACTACTGGAAATGCTTTTGACTGTTTCTACAAGCTTATTCTGAAAAAAAAAAAAAAAGCACTTTACAATGTAAAAGAAGTGCACAAACTGACCATGTCAGTGTAACTTGGGGAATATAATTCAAATACAGATTCCTAGACCCTTTTCCAGACCTACAGAATCAGAATTTCTATAGAGTGACCCAATAATGCCTGTTTTGGTTTTTATTATTTTATTTGTGTGTGCGTGTGTGTATTGTGTGATTAACATGGCAAGTAGGTGATACTCATGTTCTTTAAAGCTGGCAAATTAATATTGCAGGTGATACTAAGATAGATGAAGAGCAGCTTTCTATATGAAATTATTGTTTAGCATCTAGCATGTAGATGAAACAGATTAAGATATATTAAAAAATACGAGTTTGGAAATTAGAGAGGAGATAATATAAAATAATATATATTTATGTATCTCCCAATCATTTATATATCTCCCAGAAATTAGAGAAGAGATAAGATATAGTGTATATGTTAGCTTAGGCTAAGTATTGAAATTGAAGTTTTAGCTTCCAATTTGGAACACTGGTGTTATGGTATTATTTATTTTTAAAGTTATTTTTATTGCTCTCCCATTGAAAATTTAAAAAAAAAAAAACTACCTGAACAGGAGATAGATAGATAGATAGATAGATGTGTATATAAAAATATACACATCTCCTCTTGTTTACACACACACACACACACACATACATTCACTTACTCTCTTCCTCTCATAAATATTTAACATAGAGTTACCATATGACGGAACAATTCCACACCTAGGGTATATACCTATGAAGGGTATATAAAGAAATGGAGACATACAACACAAACATTGTACATCAATGTCCATAGCAGCATTATTCATAATAGCCCCCAAAGCAGAAACAAACAAAATGTTCATCCATTGATAAATGCATACGTAAATTGTAGTATATGCATACAATGGAGTATTATTTGACAGTAAAACAGAATGAAGAACGGTTACATGTATCAATATTGAGGAACCTTGAAAATACTATGCAAGTTACAGAATCAAGTCACAAAAAATACATATTGTGTGTCTCATTTCCATGCAATTTTTATAATAGATGAATCTTACAGAGACAGAAAGTAAATTAGCAGTTTCTTAGGGCTGAAGAGGGTATTAGGGATTTGGTGATGGGGACATGATCATGAATATAGGGCTTTTTGTTAGATAATAAAAATATTATAAAATTAATTGTGATGATTTCACAACCATGTGAATATACTAGATACTTTTGAATTATAAACTTAAATGTGAGACTTGTATGGTATATGAATTATATCTCAATAAAGCTGTTAAAAAGATAAATAAATGTCTGTGTACACACACATAATTACACATTCAAAAAGCAATTTTTATAAGTATGTATGAATAGTCATGTTTAAGAAGGAAATTTAAATTTACCATTTGCCTAACCTTTAGTCTTTGCATCTTAATTAGCCTGTGGTTATCGCTTATCCTTCTGCAGAGATCTCTTAGAAACACCATCAAGAATGGTAGTAGTTAGTATGTATCTACATGTTCTATTGCTATAGTGTTATATAGCTATAGTCATTATAGCTATATATAGCTACATATATAAAACATGCATATATAAATATAGATGTATATAGAACATGCATATATAAATATATTTAATATTATTAACACTGAGTTAATTGTGTTAATTGGAAGTGACATTCATGCTATTCATACATGACCTATGAGATGAAAAAATGTAAAACTTTTTAAAAATATGCTTTTCCTATTCTTCTTCAGATGGAATTGTCAAACAGAAAGAGCTAAAGAAAAAACTAAATTCCTTAGTGAGATTAGAGTTATTCTAAATGTCATTATTTCACATTTAGATTAGTAAACTTCATTTCACAAAGAGGTTTGCTCAACCCGGATGCAAATTTTTACACTTAAAGCGAATCACAAATTTTGTGATTTTAGTTACCTTATCGCCAAAAGGTTTGCCTGTTATGGGCATGCCATATAAATGAATCATGCAATATGTAGTTTTTGTGCATAGAACATATAGGTTAATAAACACTAAGAACAGTACCTCATGAATGCTAATACTTAATTTTTCGTATTACAGTTTTACCCATGGTTTCACAAAAAGCCATAGAAAGCTTTGCAAACAACGAACGAACACATTAAAAATACTGAAAAATATTAATGGTGGTTACATTACTCCAATTTTGTCAGAAAGAGCTGTTACTGAATTGAGTGACTGTTTAAGTGAAACATGCTTCTGAGCATTCTATTTTCAGATACAAACACACACACACACTCTACACATGTATATGTGCATACACACACATACATACCTATGTGTGTGTACATTGTCATTTGAAAACTTCTCTAATAGACATTATACTTTTCGCAACATTATTACATCAGGAAAATATTACTATAACCTAGAACAGGGGCTTCTAGATTTCATATCCTTCACATATCAGTGGAGCATTATCTTCCTACTCCTGGTGTACATGGAAAGCAGCTCTGCTCTCCAGCAGAGCTTTATGGGCAGTCTAGGTGGCTTCGTTGGCATCCCCAGGGAAGTGTTTTAACCATCTTTATGATGTTCAACTCAGATATCATTTTACAGTGATGCCCAAGTAAGAAGTAGTTTATTTTCAAACGACTATGCTAGTTCCAAGCGTTGATTGACGCTTGGGCCAATCCATTTGGGACTCATATTTAGCACCTCTGCTTCTTACTCTATCCATGATATAAAGATTTATGTATTTCCCAATCAGTAATCTCATGGACCTCTCTTTTTGTACTTCCCTCAGGTTCACTCAGAATGATGACAGTCCATTTCTTTGAGACGCTCCTAAAGCCCTGGGGCTGCTGTAAGTACCACTAGCTCTGCTACCATCTTCTGTGGAGGCCATGTGGAAATTCTCCCTGAGAGCCTAATTTTCTGTTCTTTCATTAAGTCCACATCTTAAACCAGACCATTATCAACATACTCAGATTTGATGAAAATATACTTAGCCCTATTCACTTGCTGTCTTAATGAAATAATTGAAACATTAATTATAGAGATGGACAGAAACTTTACTTAAATAACTTGAGTTGTCACACGAAGTTCTCTTCATTACAAAACATTTTATTCAAAGATATTTTAATTTACTTTTATGCTTTGTGTCTAAATAATAGTATAATGACTTTCTAAAGTCTATTTTTGTAAAAAATAATAAAACACGTTTTTAATATTCAGTATTGAAATTATAACACCAATTTCACATTTAGACTGACAATGTAGAAAAACTAGCCGCTAAATAAAGATGAAAGAGCCATCCCCATGCGAAATATTTTAACTTTCGCACATTCATTGGCTTCCTTTCTCCTCTTGCTGTTTTTGAACACCCTTCCCTCATCCTTACACACACCCAAGTATAGTTGTCTTCCTATTATGCACTCACTTTGTCTGGGGATGATTTGCATAATTAAGTGTGGGTTTGAGACTAAGCATGGTATACAAATGTCATCGGCTCAGAAATACTATGTGTACATTTAATTCACATTTGATCTGATTTTTAAAACTGAGACTATCTAGAATTTCTCCTTTAGGGAAGTATTTTATTGGGAGAACATTTGTATTATATGGAAAGAAATACTAGTTCAAAACATTGTCAGCCGAGTATCTGTCAGAAATGAAAATGTAAGAATTTTTTCATGAGTCCTCCTCTTCATTTTAAATACTTGAATACAATTCTAAAAAGATGTGGTTTCATTTTGCTTTTAATTCAAAATGAAACTGCTAAGGTAAAACTGTTTAACTTACACAGTCCGTCACTTAACATATGCTTTGTGAAATGTTTCAAAGTCATTGGTAAATATTTTGCATGCATATTCCATATTAATGCAACAGAAATTAGTTGAATAGAATTCATTCTGGGAATATTATGCATCCTAAAAGTTATATACTCTCAGAGTGTTGTCCTGATTATTACAAAAATTGTATACAGAACAAATGACATAATATAGTGGAAAACAGTGTGGCAATTAAAACAAGGATTAGAATGGAGGACTGTCTAAGTTCAAATCCTTGTTCCACCAGTTTCAGAGGTGTAACTGTGGGCAGGTTATACAGGCAGTCTATCTCTGTTTCTTCATCTGTAAAATGGCAATAATAAGCATTTCAGAGTTTCTGAATAGTAAGTTAGTTACTAGAAATTAAGCCTTTAGAAAAGTGCCTAACTTATAGTAAGGACCAGGATCACCACTTTGAACAACTCCAGAGGCATCATTCATAATGATTTCTATGTGACTGGTGCTGTCTGGAGCACAGTGCAATATGGGCATGGTGTTACTTGAAGTTGTGCTCCATAGCAGTGCTGGTAAGCTCAAGGACAGGATAGTCTTTATATTATTATGATTCATGCCAGAATGACCATAATCTCCAGTCTACTGAGAACATTATTGTTTTATGCCTGTCATCCTCACATTATTGATGCCACTTTTCTCCCTCAGAAGTGTCTCTGTTTGGACAATGAATTACATGGTGAAGACATTCATGGCTATTTAGGTGAAACTTAACTGGTATATCTCTTGAGCTTAAATGAAGGGCATTTTTAATCTATTCAAATCTCAAAGTGCAACATATCAGACTCCATTAAATAATCTATAGAACCTTTTTATCAATATAATTTATCAAATACAAGGGCATTGATTTGATTCAGAAGAAACTCAGTCTTGGTTTCACTATTGTTTCTTCAATGATTTATTTTGTCCAACTCTGTAAAATAGTATTTTGCTATGGCTTTTATAGCTATTGTAAACGGGATTACTTTCTTGGTTTCTTTCTCAGGTTGTTTGCTATTGACATATGGAAATGCTACTGATTTTTGTATATTAATTTGTATCCTGCAACTTTACTGAATTTGTTTATCAGTTGTAATACTTTTGGTCGAGTCTTTAGTTTTTTCTGAATATAATCTGCAAACATCTGCAAATGAGGATAATTTGACTTCTTTCTTTTCAATGTGGATGCCTTTGATTTCATTTCCTTACCTAGTTGCTCTGTATAGGACTTCCAATATTATGTTGAATAAAAGTGGTAAAAGTGGGTATTATTGCCTTGTCCCAGACCTTAGAGGAAAGGCTGTCAGTTTTTCCCTGTTCAGTATGGTACTAGCTGTGGGTTCATCATATATAGTCTTTATTGTGTTGAGGAATGTTTCTTCTATACTCAGTTTGTTGAGAGTTTTAAAAAATCATTATTAAGGGATGTTGAATTTTATCAAATGCTTTTTTGCCATCTATTGAAATGATCATATAACATTTGTTACTCATTCTGTTGATGTAAGGTATCACATTAATTGATTTGTGTATGTCGAACCATATTAGCATCCGGGGGATGAATTCTACTTGATCGTGATAAACAATATTTTTAATGTGTTGTGAAAATAAGTTTGCTAGTATTTTGTTGAGTTCTTTTTTGCATCTATGTTCATCAGAGATGTTGGCCTGTGTTTATTTCACACGTTGTGTCTTTGTTTTTGGTGTCAGGGTAATGCTGGCCTCAAAAAATGAGTGTGGAAGAGTTATCTCCTCTTTGACTTTTTGGAAAATTTTGAGTAAGATTTGTATTAGTTCTTTAAAGATTTGGTAGAATTCGGCTATGAAGGCTACAAATAAGCTTAACCAAAGAAGTAAAAGAATCTACAGTGAAAACTATAAAAATTAATGAAAGAAATTGGAGAGGATTTAAAAAATGGAAAGCTATTCCAGGTGCATAGATTGGAAGAATCAATATTGTTGAAATAGCCATACTACCCAGAGTGATATACTGATTCAATACATTACTATCAAACTATCAATGACATTCTTTATAGAAATATAAAATAAAACAGTCCTAAAATTTCTATGAAACACAAAAGACCCTGAATAGCCAAAGCCATCCTGAGCAAAAAGAACAAATCTGGAGGCATTACATTACGTGACTTCAAATTATACTGCAAAGTTATAGTAACCAAAACATCATGGTACTGGCATAAAAGCAGACACATAGATCAATGGAACGGAATAAAGAACCCAGAAATAAATTCATCCCTTTACAGCCAACTAATTTCAAACAAGGTGCCAAGAATATACATTGGGGAAAAGGCATCCTTTTCAACAAATACTGCTGGGAATACTAGATATCTATATGCAGAAGAATGAAAATAGATCCCTATATTTTTTTACCATATGCAATAATCAAATCAAACTAAATTAAATGCTTAAATGTAAAACCTGAAATTTTGAGACCATTAAAAGAAAACAGGTGAAATGATTCAAGACATTGGCTTGGGCAAATATTTCTTGAATAAGACCTTATAGCACAGGCAACCAAAGCAAAAATGGATAAATGAAAACACATCAAACTTAAAATCTCCTGCACAGAAAAGAAAATAATGAAGAGACAACCTACATAATGAAAGAAAATATTTTCAAAGTATCCAACTGATCAGTGATTAATAACCAGAATATATAAGGGACTCAACCAAATCATAGTTAAAATCCCAAATGATTTAATTTGAAAAATGGGCAAGAGGTCTGAATAGACATCCCTCAAATGAAGACACACAAATGACAAACAAGTATATGAAAAAATGTTCAACGTCACTGATCATCAAGAAATGTAAATCAAAATCACAATGAGATATCATCTCGATTCAGCTAAATGGCTCTTATAAAAAAAAAATAACAGACGCTAGTGAGGATTTGGAGAAGGGAGAACACTCATGCACTGTTGGTGGGAACGTAAAGTAGTATAGCCTCTATGGAAAACGGTGTGAAGTTTCCAACAACAACAACAAAAACTAAATATAGAGCTACCATATAATCCAACAATCCCACTGCTGGGCATATAATCATGAAAAAGGAAATTAGTACATTGTAGATATATTTGTACTCCCATGTGTATTGCAGTACTATTTACAATAGCTTACATTAGTGTCTAGATATTAATCAACCTAAGTGTCCATCAACAGATGAATTGGTAAAATAAATGTGGCATATATATTCAATGAAATATTACTCAGCTATAAAAAGTATGAAATACTGTCATTTGTTACAATATGGATAGAACTGGAGGACATTATGTCAAGCTAAACAAGCCAGGCACAGAAAGACAAATATCACATGTTCTCCCATGTGGGAGCTAAAAAAATGATCTCAAAGAATTAGAGAGTAGCATGATGGTTACTTGAGGGGTAGTGGAAAATGGGGGATAAAGAAGTGTTGGTTAATGAATACAAAAAATACAATTAAATAGAAGTTATAAGGTCTAGGGTTTTGTAGTACAATAGGGTGATTATAGTTAACAATAAATGATTGCATATTTCAAAATAACTAGTGGAGCAAATTTGGAATGTTCCCAACAAAAAGAAATTATATATATTCAAGTTGACGGATATTCCAATTACCCTGTTTTGATCATTATACATTGTATGCTTGTATCAAAGTATCACATGTATCTCATAAATATGTGCAACTATTATAGAACCATAAAATTAAGAAATGGGCTGGGCGTGGTGGATCACGCCTGTAATCCTAGTACTTTGGGAGGCCAAGGCAGGTGGGTTCCTTGAGGTCAGGAGTTCGAAACCAGCCTGGATATCATGGTGAAACCCCATCTCTACTAAAAATCCACAAATAAGCTGGGTGTGGTGGTGGGTGCCTGTAATCCCAGCCATTTGGGAGGCTAAGGCAGGAGAATGACTTGAACCCAGGAGGCAGAGGTTGCAGTGAGTCGAGATCTCACTACTGCACTCCAGCTTAGGCAACGGAATGAGGCTCCATTTCAATAAATAAATAAATAAAGACAAATATTTTGAAATTATTTGATAAACTAATCAAA